GTCAAGGCATGTTCACGTATAATCATGATGTCAAGGCATGTTCACGTATAATCATGATGTCAAGGCATGTTCACGTATAATCATGATGTCAAGTCATGGTCACGTATAAACATGACGTCAATGCATGGTCACGTTTAATCACGACGTCAAGCCATGGTAGCCTGATTATTGTTGTTCTGTGTTACAGGTCTACAGCATGACACTATTCATAACAGACAAGCCATGGGGGTACCGCTAGAGGAAAAATTCTTGCCCCAATACCTCAGAGAACAAGGCTACAAAACTCACGCTGTTGGGAAGGTAAATATCAACTGAGCCTGCATTCCTGTTGATCAGCAGTGATCTATGGAATACATGTGACACAAAACTTCGGTTTAGTTTGGACCAATTAATGGACCAAATCCTCTAGCGCATAATATTTTTCCTATTTTAGACCACGTGTTACTCCCTTGAGAATAAAATTCTTTGTTTGAGTTGTGTCGATATTCATGTGTCTTCGAATTCTGATGCACAATCTTTAAACAAAGAAATGGTACTCTAGGCATGTTGTCTGAAATAACAAACTCAGCTTTACGCGCCCAAGTGGATTTGGTCTATCGTTTAATTAGGTGCTTACTACCGTCAACAAATGAAAAAGCACAAATTAGGATTTGCCGAAACCAAACGGAAAGCAGGCTCAAAAATCACATCCAACTAAACGAAATAACTTGTAATAAAAACGTGTATTGTTAGACATGAAATAGCCGGTACAGTTAGATGAATCTACCAAAAACTATTTTGTACTCAAACATTATTTTATACTTACACTTTATTTCTAATCCTACGCATGCGCAGTGGCAACTTGGCTTCTTCTCCAAAGAATACACCCCAACGTATCGAGGATTCGATTCGTTCTTTGGATTCTGGACATCCAATCAGGATTACTATAAACACGTGTCCTATGATGGTGGATATGGCCTCGATCTGAGGAGAGATATGAATGTAAGTATATAAGATCACACTAGCTGCTCATCCAATGAAAATGCTCGGTTGCGCTACCGTCAAGGGGCACGGCACGACACATTCATGTTGGAAGTCTTTGAGTGTAATGTCATCAAAGTGCATAATGGGACACGTTCTGAATGGAACCACTCAAAAGATAGCGCAACTCATGACAATAAATGCTAATGATTGGTTTCATCATGTCACGTGATAGGTCGTCTACAACGAATCAGGAGTGTACGGAACAGAACTTTTTGCACGTGAAGCCGATAAGATCATCGAAGCGCATGCTCAAGAACAACCGCTGTTCATCTACATGGCGCACCAAGCCGTATCAGTAGGAAACATGGAAAATCCTCTTCAAGCTCCCAATAGATTCGTTGATAAGTTCAAGTATATTAAAGACGAAAGAAGAAGAACGTATGCAGGTATGCTTGTAAGTCGGTCAGTCAGTCAGTCAGTCAGTCAGTCAGTCAGTCAGTCAG